ACTTGGGTAAGAAGGAGGGTGGGTCAGATAGAGACAAAAAGGAGATGTACAATTTTCGTGAGGCTATTGATGAGTGTTGTTTGCGTGAGCTCAAGTCTGAAGGTCAGTGGTACACCTGGTAGAAGAACACAAGCAGATGAATGGTGCTTGAAAAGTTAGATCGATACCTTATGACATCTTCCTGGCTATCTCTTTTCCCGAATGCCGTCGTTCAACACCTAGTTCGTTATAAATCTTACCATTGTGCCATTATCATCAATGAAAGAGTTCCTTCAAGAAGACGTAATAAAGGTAGGAAGTTCTTTCGATTTGAAACCTCCTGGTTACTTGATGAGTTGTGTGAGCAGGAAGTAAAGAGTGTGTGGGAAAGTACAATGGGAAGGGCGATGGAAGAACGAATTGAGGGAGTGGCTAAGAGGCTTGTGAATTAGAGTAAAGTGAAGTTTGATGACTTGGGAAAACCAATCGAAGACGTGGAGAAGGAGTTACATCAGGTTCAACAAGAGCCCGTAACTGACTTGAACTGTGCAAGGTGTTCTACTCTTGAAGCAAAACTGGATGACTTACACTCAAAGCACGAGGCATACTGGTTCTTGCGCTCAAGAGTATCGGAGGTGAGAGACGGGGATCGAAAAATAGCTACTTTCATCATAAGGCTAGTCAGCGTAAACAGAAAAATAGGATTATGGGTCTCTTTGACAGCAGCACAACCTAGCGAACTGATGTAGAGGATATCCACAGAATTATTGAGGATTATTTTGGGGGTCTTTTTATTTCCTCCTGCCCAACTGAGGATGTGATGAATGTGGTCTTGAGTCACACTCAGGAAGTCATAACAGCGGTTCAAAATGCAAAACTTTTGAGACCATACTCAAAGCAGGAAATTTTTGATGCTGTTCAACAAATGCACCCAAGAAAAGCTCCCGGACCTGACGGAATGCACGCTGTTTTTTATCAAAGGTTCTGGCACGTAGGGGAGATGATGTTACAACTTTTGTGGATGACATTCCAAATGGAATGTCATTCACTAGTACGCTTAATAGTACAACATCGCCTTAATCCCGAAGGTTAACTCTCCTACTCGTCCTTCGAAATTTGGGCCTATAAGTCTTTGCAATGTGCTTTATAAATTGGTCTTAAAAGTTTTAGTGCTTAGACTAAAAAAGATCCTCCCTGATGTGATTTCTGACTATCAAAGTTCTTTTATTCCGGGTCGTCTGATTACTAATAATGCTCTCATTGCTCTTGAAGTTTTTCACTCAATAAAAAAACGTACGAGAAGTGGTAGGGGTACCATATAGCTATGAAACTCGACATGAGTAAAGCGTATAATAGAGTTGAGTGGGGATTTATGAGGAAATTTCTTCTAGCGATGGGTTTTGATGGTTGATGGGTGAACTTAGTAATGGAATGTGTGACAACAATAAAGTACTCTTTTGTGATAAATGGGAGAGTTTGGGGCTCACTAGCTCCAAATAGAGGTTTGAGACAGGGGGACCCTTTGTCGCCGTACTTGTTCATAATGGTTGCGGATGCCTTCTCAAACATGATTCTTTCAAAAGTGGGTTGCAAAAGCATTCATGGTGCAAAGGCAAGCAGAATTGGCCCGGTAGTTTCTCATCTCCTTTTTGCGGACGACAGTTTACTCTTCAATAGAGCCAACCGACAAGAGTGCCAAGAGATAGTTGATATTCTCAACAAATATGAAGCGGCAACTGGTCAGAATATTAACTATGATAAGTCTGAGGTCTAATTTAGTAGAGAGGTTAGTAATGATTGTAAGAGGGAGTTGATTGATATTTTGTGTATGAAAGAGGTCGAGAAGCATGAAAAATACTTAGGTATTCCTGCCATTTGTGGGAGATCAAAAAGAGCGACATTTGGGGCTTTGACTGATAGAATTTGGAAAAAACTCCAAGGGTGGAAGGAAAAATTGTTATCGAAGGCGGACAAGGAAATTCTCCTTAAAGATGTAATACAAGAAATACCAACCTACCTCATGAGTGTTTATAAATTTCCTGTTTTTGTCACTCATGCAATAGAGGAGGCTATGGCCAAATTTTTTTGGGGCAGTAGTAGTGATAGGAAAAGGATCCATTGGAGGAGTTTGAAGAGCTTGTGTGAGCCGAAATGTTTGGGGGGGGGGGGTATGGGTTTCAAAGACCTAGCGGTTTTCAATGATGCATTGCTCGGAAGGCAAGTGTGGAGACTATTGAAAGAGGAAGAAACACTCTTTGGTAAGGTAATGAAATCAAAGTACTTCCCTAATAGCTCCATTATTGATGTAGCTTTGGGATATTCATGTAGCTACTCCTGGAAGAGCATTTGGAGTGCTAAATCTCTCGTTAAGGAAGGTTTGCTGTGGAAAATTGGCAATGGGTATGATGTAAACATTCGGTCTGACCCATTGCTAGTTGATGAGGGGGGAAGATTTATTGAGAGCAATATTCCAGATGAGCTGCAATGTGTAAGTGACATCATAGACACGATTGGCGTCTGGATTTAATTGCTGAACATTTTAATGAGAGAGACCAGCGCTGCATTCTTGCTATCCCAGTCAGTGTTAGAGAGCCGAAGGATGAGATGATGTGGGCATTCTCCAAAGAAGGTACATATACTGTAAAATTTGCTTACATGTTGGGTAAAGGATGTAACCTTGATAATTTTCACAATGCTTGGGTGAGAATTTGGGGTTTGGATGTATCTCCGAAGATCAAACACTTTTTGTGGAAAGTGTGCACAAATACGCTTCCCACTAGGTCTGAATTGGTGCGCCGTCACTTGATTGATAGCAGTGCTTGCCCGTGGTGTAATAGTGAAGCAAAGAGCTCCTGGCATGCCCTGTAAAACTGCAGCAGGGTCAGGCCCCTGTGGGAGGATACTCGTTGCTCAATTATGATAAGAAATGGTTGTAGCATGACAATGTGTGACCTTATTGCGAATTGGGCCAACATTAATGCAAAGATTGTGCGTAAAGGTGCTATTTTGGCGTGGTGTGTATGGGCTGAGAGGAATAAGAAGGTGTTTGATAACAAATTTACCCCTAACTCGGTGATTATTGATAGGGTAGAAAGGCTTGAGGATGAGCATGGCAAGTATGCAAAATGCATTTATCAGAGGCCTAGCAACAGAACAGTGCAGCAACAACGAGTTTGGTGTGTGCCTCCTTTGGGAGTAATTAAAGTAATGTTGATGCTTGGTTAAATACTCAAGGCTATGTGGGTTTGGGTGTTGTGGCAAGGAATGAGAAGGGTGATGTGTGTTTTGCTGCTGTGTGTCGCTCAAAGGCTTGGTGGCAGCCTGTTATTGCAGAGACAAAGGGCATTGTGATGGATCTGCGACTTGGGAAGAGGCCAGGTATGGTTTGACAGATGTAATCGTGGAATCTAATTGCGAAGTAATCGTAAACAGGCTGCAAAAATCAATGATCTTCTATGCCGAGTTAGATTCTATTTTGGAAGACATCTTAGCTCTTAGTTGTAATTTTAATTCGATCTCTTTTAGTCATGTTTAAAGAGATGGCAGCATGGTTGCTCATCATTTAACTAAGATGTTCCCTTTTAATGATGAACAAGTATGGGAAAATCACGGCCCCCCAGATATCTTTTCCTATGTATTGATGGATAAAGTTGCTCTGAATTAATAATATTGACTCTCGTTTTCTTAAAAAAAAAAGAAAAAAGAGAATATCTAAATTTAATGGTGAAAACAAAAAAAAAATGGATGGGCTTCTTTCTGTTGGGCGAACAAAATGTGGACCTGAATACAAGTATAATGTATGTGGACTATACGGTGATGATTGTCTTTATACGCTGTCATGTAGTTTAGCCCAAAATTCAAGTGATCCATTTAAGTAATTATTATTATTGGGCTTGTTACGTCTTTTATAGAGTATGGGTTTAGCTTTATGTGTAGAGATCGTTGGACCTTTTCTAATGCATGATGGGCGGATTAGGGAAGGGGGTCTATATATAAATAGACATCTAGGGTTATGGTCCCTAGTAGTACATACAACTCCCATCAATAGAGAGAAACCCTAGAGTGTGTATCTACTAGAAGACTCATAATCAAGAAGGGGTTCGCTCAATTGTCATGGAATCAGGTACGCTTCCGCAATTATGTTTTACCAATTAATTTGATATGAAGATTAAGTATATTGTAGGAATTAATCCTAACAAAGATAAGTTTTGGATTTCAAAACTCATCTCACAACTACACTATAGTCTTTGTATACATTATTGCAAGAATGTTGCTCAAGACTCCTCTTACTTGCAATAAAATCACCCTTGGTAGAGACTGGAGAGGCTGGTAGTTTATTTTTAGGTAGTTTAGGTTCTTGTTCAGAATTCATGCTTTTCGAATTTTAATTTTATTATCACTTTGCTTTATTATAATTTTTTTAAGGAAAAATTAAAAAGAATAATCTCACGTTTGACACATCTTCTCAAAATAATCTCACCTTCGCGTATTTCAGAAATAATCTCACATTTGTACCCAATATTCTCAAAATGAGCTTTTTTACCTATAACTTGTAAAACAAGTTAGATTTTTACTTGATCAAAACTTTAATCGAAAGTAGACTCAAGCCTTTTTATTTATTTATTTTTAATTTTTTCCTCTAATCTCTCTTCTCTCACCTCACCCCCTACATGACTCCATCCATGTCAACCATCATAACCACCTCCACACCACCCTTCAAAGTTTAAAAAATTGTGAAACAAAGGTAATTTATGTCTTTTGACTCTTTAGTTTTATAATTACTTTACTTTATTATACGGAGTATTATTTTTTTATATTGCGGTTTTCATTATTTTATTATTCTTTTTAACTATGTTTAATTAAATTGCCTTAATTAGTTTAGATTTAATTATATATGAATAGTTTAATCTACAATGTTTTTTCCCCTAAAAAAAAAATCTACAATGTTTTGTACAGGTAGACAAATACTAAAGCCTAAGCTTTAAGAGAACAATTAAACAAGTTTTTCATAGCATATATAGTAGCATTTAGTATCACTTATAAAAGTCTTTCCTTTTTAAAATATTGTCTAAAGCCTAAGCTTTAAGAGAACAATTAAACAAGTTTTTCACAGCATATATAGTAGCATTTAGTATCACTTATAAAAGTCTTTCCTTTTTAAAATATAATTATTATGGTACCACATGACAATCTCATAAAGACAACATTATCATTACTTACACTCTTTTGTCTTAACATGGTAACGCCATCATCAAAATAGCATTCCCCTCAATTATTGAATTTACAAATTTGATTGGCAAGTTATAGAAACACCACCCACCACCATCCACAACCACAACCATTAAACCCTCTTTACCCTTTCTTCCTCTTATAATCATTCAAACTATTATTCCTAAAAAAAAATTTCCACCTTTATTCTACATCTCAAAAAAAAAATAAAAATGATGTCATCTATTAGTTTCATAGTTATGCTACTAATAATGATCATCATACCCACTATACTATACACCTTCTTCTTCCTCACAAGCTGCCCTCCAAACCCTCTAGACCTCATACGCCGTCTTCGGCCTAGACGAACCGGTGTCGAAACCATTATTGATCCATCAAGAAGGTCATCATCTAAAGTGGCCGAGGAGGAAGACGGCGAAAACACAAGTAACAAGGATAAAAATAACATAGAGTTAGTTATTGCCTCGAGCTCGACTTTAGGGAAAGATGATGTAGATTGTCCAATATGTTTAGCTGATTTCATAGAAGGAGAAGAGCTTAGACAACTCAAGATTTGTAAGCACTTGTTTCATAGGATTTGTATTGATAAGTGGCTTTCAAGTCATTGTATTTGCCCTATTTGTCGAACAATTGTTAGTCAAAAACAAGCTAAGATTATGAAAGAAAGAGAGATTAATCGCGTTTTGGCTGCAAGAAGGGATTTTGATAGGCATGATCATTGGCAAGGTTTGCCTGATTCTGCTGGCTTGGTTTAAGTAAAGGAAAGAATTTTTTTTTTTTTGATTGGTTGGTGAAATTAGGTTATTTTTTCTACCAAAAAAAGGAAAATTAGGTAGATTTGTATATTTATATATTGTTTATTTTAGTGTGTTAGTATATTTCTGTTTTAAAATATTGTCCCTTGTGATAAGGGTTTGCAAATGTAATCTTTCTTAATTACTCTAAAGTGGTTATTAGTATGAGTAGTTTATTGGGTTAAGTAATTGCAATTAAAAGGATATTATTTTCCTATGACAAGTGTTCATTATTTAAATTCTTTAAGTGATTTAAAAAAAGGGAAAAAAAATAAAAATAAAAAGTAAGGGTTGGAATTTTGAAGTTACTAGTATTAGCCATTTAGTTTGTGATATATATATATATATATATGAAAGTACTCAAATTGTTTTGGCTATAGTCAAGTTAAAGATTGTACTCATGAGTAGTGACAATGGAACTACTTAATTTATGCATTTGTAAAATTTAACTTTTGATAGAACTTTGATCTTGAATCATTGGCTTATGTTATTCAGATAGTTGAGTACTAATCTTGTATTGCACTATGTTCCTTGCTATCTTTGAAAATAAAACATTTACGAAGTAATAAATCCACTCAAACACTACGACTCTTATTTTAAGCCTTAGTCCGTCCCAAAATCAAAATTTGGCCCTTGGGCATCATGTCTTTAAGCCATAAGGGCAAAAGAGCCCGCTTTGACCAAGCTCCAAGCTCAATTTTGACTTTCCCTAAAAAAAATAAAAAAGGGCTCAATTTTGACTTATTTGGGCATACAATTTATGGATTAAAATTGGGCTCATTTCCTCCTTCTAGGCCCAAATGGACTCATTTTTTTTGCCTAAAGCCCAACTTAACCCATACCCACTTTGAAAAATGAATACATTTTATTTAACTATACATGTACAAGTATGTATATAGAAGAGCAACTCCAAAGTTTCTAATGGTTGTATCTGGGGATTTGCTTGCAATTTCAAATCCCCAGATACAACCATGTACAAGTATGTATATAGAAGAGCAACTACTAGCTTGACCATTGGAGCTAGAAAACTCAATTAGCTTGGCTAAGCAAATTAGCTTGGCAAAATAAAATGTTTATTGCACTAATTAAGCTCTTTCCATGTATTTTCTATCCAACTACTACTACTACTAAGAGTACTAACTAGGCTTATAGCTAGCCATTAGAGCAAAAAGTAGCTAAAATGATAATTAGCTTAAAAGCTTATGAGGCATGGCAAGTTAATTGGAGTTGCTCGAATAATGAATGTCAATTATTTTAGTTGGTTTGAGAATGATTAGGTGTATTGGTGAGGCGTGCCTACTAGCAAATTGCTCGATGCTGTTTGGATTGGTCAAAGCTCTGCTCGAGCAAGCTTGTTTCGAGTTTGGGTTTGGCTTGAGATATTAGCCAATTTTGAGCTATATTTGGCTCGACTCGAAGCTCGAATATTATTTTTATTAATATATTCATTTTATAAAATAATTTGTAGGCATTGTAGCCTATAATAAAAAAAAAAAAAATTGACAACTAGGTCTTAGATGTCATTTTCACTGATGGGGCTATATTTGAGGATTTTTCGTAATCAATTAAAAAATTCATAAAAATAAGTAGTTATGAGAGTAGATTGTAAATTTATTAATCAAGTCCCTGAGCCGATTTTAAGTCGAGCCTTAAGCCAAGACATTTTTAGGGGTTTAAAGCTCAAACCAAGCTTGGATCCTCAGGCAAGATGAACTACAGGAGCTGAGCTCGGGCACATCATAAAAAGTGAAAGCTAACAGAAAAAACTCAATACAAACAGCAGATTAAATCAGCCTATAGCCAAATTTCAATTTTCAAATAAGGCCTATGAGATTTAACATACTCGTGCTAAAATGATACAATGAAACGTTTATAAATTAACAAGTTTCCTCATCAATATCTTTCATCTATATTGCAATCGTTAACACGACAACTTTTGGGGATACTAGTGCAAAAGGGGAAATGAGGTTTGAAAAACATGTGCATAATAATAGATATGCACATCTTCCATGTTACATACGAAGTAGTACGTATCTAGCACTAAACCGTCATATTCCAGGAGTGGTGGAAATTTCTTGGTCCGATGAATGAGCAATTGTGGCCCTATTTGATAATCAGTTATAATCAATTTAGAGTTGACCCAACTCATATCCGACTCGGATTCGATAGACCATGACTCAAATTTAATCCGACCCGAATTTAACCCGACCTGACCCGAATTTAAAAATTATGTATGACCCGAACATATCCGACTTGAACAGACCCGGCCCGAATAGAGCCGACCCAAACTCTATCCGGTTATACGAGTTGACACCTCTAATTGTGACCCCGTTTGATAATTAGTTAAAAACATTGGTAATACGAATGAATTAAAGTGTAATATAACCAACAATAAAATAACGCTCTAATAGTCTCATGTTAATAAATTTCATCCTCATACTTGTGTTTTATTTATAAACTAGATTAGTACCCGTACGTTATACGATGGTGATAAATATTTTTTTCATGTTTCTTTAGTACATGTTATATAAATATATATAAGAAAATATGTACATCATTTATTTAAATGGTCGGTTATAATTTAATGTTACATTATAGTAATATTTACTATATCATTAAAAATATATTAAAATGATGGTTTTTCAAAATGTATTTAATATTGCATCATCTAATAAAGGCATGTTCTCATTGACTGAACTCAGGTGAACTGAACTGAACTGAACTGAAATGAACTGAACTAAGCTGAACTGAACTGAACTGAACTGAACTGAACTGAACTGAAATGAAATGAAATGAATATTTTATAAGAGAAGGAAATTAGGAGCTGAGCTGAGCTGAACTGAACTGAACTGAACTGAGCTGAACTAAACTGAACTGACTTTCAACGTAAGAGAACAGACCCTAAGGTAATACGTTTAGAGTGGAAGCACAACATTACAATATTGATGTCAAACACTCAAAGTCAAGTTTTAGATTTTTTCTTTTCATATATACTTGGTCCTAATTTATAGCAAGTAAAATGAAAAGGCAAATAAATAAATAAATAAATAAAAATTTGATGACATCGTATATAAATTTGGAGGGAAATTTTGTAAAGAGAAATTGACACATAAGACATTTTAGAAACTGATGACATCAACATGTTTTGTTTTAGTATTAGTTAATAGATGTCCATTATCATCTTCAAAGAGTAATAATGATAATGAAAATTTTGATTAAAGAAAAAAATGGAAATTAATTTCTTATACAATATAATTTCACTTCATATATACAAAATTTATGTACATTATTACGGTTAATAATCATTTACCAAACAAGTCGTTGAATTGGTTATTAAGGATTTGTTCTCTTCACCTAAAATAAGGTGATTTGGTCTGAATATTTTAAGAGAAATTTTATCAACAACTACTAATTAAAGCATGTATTTTGAAAACAATTACCTATTAAAAACCTTTTTTTTTTTTGAAAAAATATTTAATTTTTTTTAAAAGAGAACTACCACAAAGTTGTACAAAGTTTAAGTAACACTACTACTCTAACAATTTTGGCTAGAATCTCCGACACTTCAGTATCACTTTTTACCAATTTTAAACATTATGAAGGGTAATTTAGTTAATTTAGATGGTTATTTACTTATTTATGAGGTAAAGGTAAAAAATGGAACCTATATGCCGAATATTCTAGTTGGAATTATTTGAGTGATAGTACTAGTTAAACTTTTTACAATTTTGTGGTAGTTCTTTTTTAAAAAAAAATAATAGATAATTGTTTTCAAAAACACGTGCTTCAATTGGTAGTTCTTGACAAAATGTCCTATTTTAAGATATGGTATAGCCTAGTCAGAATGTTTCTGGTGTGGTCTGAATTTGTTCGATGTGGTCTGGTCTAATTTGGCTCTTCTTGTCATTGTTTAATAAGTCTATTTGAATTGATTTAAATTTAATTAGTTCTTATCTGAACAAAAATTTAAAATAAGTAACTAAAATAAGTCGAAGAGAATTGTTTAAAAAAAATAATAAATTTGAAGAAAACAAGTTTAAAGTCACCGTTCCAAGCTTGTGTTAGGAGAATTGAGGCTTGAAAGGCCTAACTAAGATGGCAAACTGCTAGAATTTAGCCAACTTACTTGACCACGGAATGCCACGCCTAACAAAAGACAAGCAAATAGTGTTCCCTCACGTAATTCTTTCTTAAGTCCTACTAGTAGTTTCTAAGCAACAACTACTAACAATCTAAGACTTGTTTTACTTTTGTTCTATTGTCCCATGCTTGATAGTTATTTATAGATTCATAGTTCTCACATATTTTTCTTAGAATTTGAATTTTAATTAACTCATTTTTAATGTGATGGAGAAGAAAGTGATGGTTATCAAAAGGGTATGTATTTGTCAAAGTTTTTAATTCTTGATTGTTGGCCAAATCGGCCTCCTTTAGAAATTCAATTTCTGAGATCGAGTTTTTGTTGTTTCTTCAATTCAATTCATACATTAAAAAAAAAATTTGGTAGCTTGTTTTAAACTTTTGTTGAAAACGCATGTGATTAAGGGTGTACAAAAACTGGTCTGGACCTGAAAACCGACCTCGGACTTGATCCGGACCTGTAGATTCAGGTCCGGTCCCGGTCCTTGAAATTCAAGGATTCCGGGTTTCAGGTTCGGTCCGGGTAAAACCTGAAATTTTTAGGTCCGGACTTGAAACCGGTAAAACTACTTTTTTTATTTAATAAGTCTAAACAGGTCCATAACAGGTCCGAATAGGTCTAAACAGGTTAGCAATTTTATGTTATTTAAAAAAACCGAAAAAAAATCAATAATCAGGTCCAAACCCGGACCGGACCTGATTTTTCAAGTCTGGATCGAAACCGGACCTTTTGATTCATGTCCGATCTCTGGTCCTTAAAATCAAGGATTCAGGTCGTGGTCCATTCAAGTCCGGGTCAGGTCTAGTCCAGTTTTGGACCGGTGTACAACCCTACATGTGATGTAGTGGAAAGAACTCAAAGTAGTAATTAAGGGCGTTTGATATAAAGATTGAAAATAGAGTGGAATAGAAACAAATAAGAGGGTGAGAAAAAAATCATTCAACCCTCACTTATTTTTTGTATTTGTTTGGTTTAATTATTAGGAAAAATTACTTTAAATAAACCAACCTTTGCTCTGCTCTCCCAAAATAAACCAACCTTTGGATTATTCCAGAATAAACCAACCTTTTATCCCCTTCTTCCCATATCAAACCCAAATGACTGGTTACTCAAACAACCGGTTATCCATTTCCTTCTCCTTCCTTCCACCAATTTCTATCATCTTCCTCCATTACCACCACTCAAAGCTCCACCTCCATTTTAGTTTCCCCTTCTTTCTTTTGAAGTCACCACCCATCCCACCACCACCTTCACTAGACCGCCCCAAACAAACACTACTCCCTCAAATATCCACCACTGACCCACCGTGCACTACCAAAATCTCCCCTGCTACTCCCTCACGCACCAAGCCCGAAATAACCACCTCACAAATACAGCAACCCACTCACTCACCATCGCCATCCCGCAAATCATAGCCACGCAGCAGCCGCAATAATTGC